AAACCTAACATGACTAACACAAAAATTCTTGATTTTCCTTTCCCCCCATTCCAAACCTAATCCTCTTTCCCCAGTCTTTTCCATTTCAGCAAATGGCACCTGGAATCTACCTGGATGTTCAGGCCCCAAACCTGTCAATCTTGATTCCTCTTTTTCACTGTAACCTACTCAATATCCTCTACTTCCTCAGCCACAGTCACCTTCCTTTCTTACCTGGATTACTAGTTTTCTGATTTCCATTCCCTAAAATCCATTCTACATTTAGCATCCAAAGAGCTGTGGAACCTGCATCCATGCCAGGGCTGCATTAGGACTTTTGTGGGCCCTAAGCACTTGGCCTTCATAGGCCCCTTGGACCATTAAAAAAAATACTGAAAATTAAAAATTGGTATAAAGATTAATATATTAACATCATGTATTAAAACATTTTCTTAGACCTAGAAGTTTTTTTCTTTGGATTTTAAAATAAATAAAAACATTTCTGTGGATCGCTAAAATTATTGTGGGCCCTAGGCACTGTGCCTACTGCACCTCACGGATAAGTTGACTCTGATCAGACCCCACCAAGTCCTTCACTTAAAGAAGTCCTTCGACTGTCTCCCCTGGCAAGTAGAATGCATTCTGAAACCCTCTTCAGGGCTTTGCTGAAATCCCTGAAAAGCTGGCCAGACTCTATTTCTCCAAACTCTCCTGATACTATCTTCCTTGTTCACTCTGCTCTGGCTATACTGGCCTCTGTCTTGAAAAGACCAAATTTGATCCTACCAGGGGCCCTTACACTCCAGCTTCCTCGGCCTGGAACATTTTCCCCCCAGATCTTCAATAGGCAGCTCACAGTCAGGTGTAGCAAGCTTGTGAGTTTTCCGTGGCTTATGTGGGCATGGAAGAGGGTGGCTGGGCTTGGGGTATCTTGCTGGTTCACCACTCAAGAGGGCTGTCTGCAAGGTAAGGGTGCCCTAACAGCAGGAGGCAGAGGGTCTGGCAGGTAAGGGTGCCCCAACAGCAGGAGGCAGAGGGTCTGCCAGGTAAGGGTGCCCCAGTAGCAGGAGGCAGAGGGTTACATCACCAGAGGTTAAGAGCTGAGGAAGGTGGAAGACCTGGTGTTATCCGAGAAGCAGCAACCATTGAGGAGAGGAGATAATCACAGCAAGTCAGGTAAAGATGTTTGCCCCTTCCCTCTTCCTCTTCTTCATCCCAGCCCACTGGAGAAGCTGGGGCCCCAAAGAGAGACAATCTTTGAATCAGATCGTAGGGTTTTAAGTTTTAAATTAAACTGCATTGAGATTTACTCACCAAAAGGAACCAAGCAACAATGGAATCCGCCTGCCCAACTCCAAGGCCATCATCTTCCCACACCAGTTTGCTACCCCAGCAATCAGCCTTGTTTACTCTTGTCCTAGAAGCTGGTTTATTTCATTCTCTGGGGAAACAGCAGGCTGAAAACAGATGCATCTTACCTCTGCAAGAAATGGTCCGTGTTTACCACCTATGTACTCTAGACCCCACTTCATCAAAAGGATTTTTCAATGCCCTTACCACAATGAAAGCCCAGAGAGGAGACCTGCAGGCAGCTGCAGCCCCACTGTTGCTCCTAGATTAATGAGGATGGCTGTAGGTCTGCATTCCAGACACTGATTTGAAGGGTTTAATAACTAAGATGACCAGACATGCTGGTTTTCCGAGGACATACCTGTCCTAGCCTCATTAATAGAATTCCCTTTCAGTCAGTCTCAAAACAATTCCATTCTGGATGATAAATTAAATGGTCACTCTACCAAATAGCCATAGAAATCAACTGACGAGGCAACTTCAAGGCATCCTTGAGCTGGTTCATGACAAGGATTAAGAAAAAGTGTGGACATGAACAGTAGAACTCAGAGCAGGAAGGAAAGCCAGGCCAGTGCAGGCACTGTCCGCTGGGCTCCCTGGCTGAGGGCTCTCCCCAGGAAGTGTGGAGGACTGCGGTCAGAATTCCTCCGTGCACTCTGGAGGGCTGTCACTCATCCTTCAGTGAGCAGACGGTAGACAGACTAGAGTTGTTATTCCAGGGCAGGCTTGTCATCCTCAACAAGATCTGAACCAAAGACTCCTGTAGGTGTCAGAGACAGACTGCTACCTTAACAGTGACCCAGGTGTCACGGGGGACTTGCCCTCCTGCTGAGCAGGTAGACCGAGCCACACAAAGTGGAGAGCGTGATCTTGTGTTCCAACTTACTTTCCAGGTGTTTTTTTTTTTTTTTGTAAGATCAGCCCTGAGCTAACAACTGTGCTAATCCTCCTCTTTTTGCTGAGGAAGACTGGCTCTGAGCTAACATCTATTGCCAATCCTCCTCCTCTTTTTTTCTTCCCCAAAGCCCTGGTAGATAGTTGTATGTCATAGTTGCACATCCTTCTAGTTGCTGTATGTGGGATGTGGCCTCAGCATGGCTGGAGAAGTGGTGCGTCAGTGCGCGCCCGGATCCGAACTGGGGCCTCCAGTAGCAGAGCGCGCGCTAAGCCACAGGGCCGGCCCCAGGTGTTTTTTTTTTAAATCCATTTCTGGTCCAAAAAAGGACCAGAAGAAAGAAGACTACACGTACAACTCTGCCACTATCTGGCTCATATTTCTTTACCTCTTTAGCACTATATTCCCATTTTTTTGGACTAGCTCCTTTCTAAAATTCAAAATTCTGAATAAAGTCTACGTAAAAAATGTGTCCCAAATTCTGCCACAACCCTCTGATTCTCAACGACAAATGATTTTTGTTTTTCTCGCCCGTTTTACCCTGTGATCATTTCCAAATCTGGCTCCAGGGTTCTCGTTAGACCCAAAAGGCACTGACACCTGACACCGCTGAGGGCTCATCACACTTTCTGCATCATCACCCTGGCCAAAGGCTGTTACAGAGATCCCCAAAATGTACTTATTAGAACACTAAATTGTTCATAGGCATTACATAAGAAAACAAAGTTCTGTGATCAAAGATTTTATTGAAATGCAGATTTTAAAACATTAACACATCTCTTGACTACAGGAATTCCTAGCGCTTTCATTGTGCAAACGGACAAGTGAATCCTCCATAAGGAAAAGGAATATTGAGAGGCATCTCCCTCCGCCTTGATGATGGTGCCCTTTTTATTTTTCGTAGAAGATCTGGAGGGTGAGTGTTTAAGGCACACAGTTTAGGAAGGCTAGTTCTACTAGCCTTACTAGGAATAAATCCTTACAATGTATAACTAACACATGTAAAGCACTAATTGTATAATCTTGCCAGAGTCCTTTCTTCTTTTTTATTTCAACCACCATGATAGTTTAATACCATGCTTCCTTTTATTACCACTGCAAAAATGGACATGTTGAATTATTTTGCAATCTTCTTTCACAATTCTAGGAGTTATGTTGTATATAGCATGTGGGCACTATTCTTTAGTAAATTACATCTACTTGTGAACTAAACACTGATATTATTTTGACTTTGTGCCATTACCTGCCCTTGCTGAGGGACGTTGCAACTTTGCAAAAAATCAAAATCAAGGTGCTTCATAAAAGGAGCATCTGTTAAAAAAAAAAATCAGTTCTGGTCTAGGTGTTCAGTGAACTTTTTTTTCACCAAGCAAAAGCAAAAACAAACAAAACCTCCAAATACCAGTCATAGAGATGGAGACCTCTCTTCTTCCTCAGGCCAGATTCCTGTTAGATTCCAAAGCAAATTTTACTGGAACTTGAAAGATTCCTGGCCGCCCTGCATATCTTTGCTATGCATAGTATTTCTCATGTGATTTGAAGAAAGCACTATGGTTGTATATTTCTTGAGTGCCTTATCAGGATTATTCTTCTGAAAAGCTCAAAAAACACAAGCCAAGAGCCACCTGGAAGAAGTTTAAGCATCAGTGCTGTATTTGAACGTCCTCACAAGCAAATAGCCACAGTGCAGGCTGAAATTACCTGGGGTGCAAGCATAGCGAACACCTGCCTTGTCATCCATTGGCGTTTTCCCCCACTGATACATTTAGAAAGAAGTGCTCAGGCTGAGAGGCATGAAATGAAAACATAATATACTGTGATGATCATATTGATAAAACACTCATGAAGACATGTATTGGAGTCTTTTCCATTTTGCATTCTCCCAACTTTCATTTTTACTATTGTACTTCATTATATGTGCCTATAGCCTAGACTAGTCCAGTAAAAGAGGCCCCTTTAAAGCTGGTGAAAAAAAACCATATTGGTTTTTCTTAGAGCACCTTCTAAATACTTTTACTATGAAATTAGTAAAGTAAGAGAGAAAAGTTTCCAAATTGCACACGTACACAGCTCCCTGAAAGCACATTGAAAACAACGCAGAATAATTTTGATTAGGCTGTACGACTGTGCCAGGCTCCAAACAAGTGGTTATTCTATTGTGACATCTGCTGAGCAATGTGACCATTGTTCTCTGGAATTTAATTCATTTTAAATTACTCCATCCAAATGATAAAACATGAGATGTGCTCCACTCTGAGAGTAAAATGCAATGATTGTTTTTAGTGTGACCACAACTTTTAGCTGGGTATCAATACAGCCTGTTCTAATTAGGCCCTGATAATTGTCTTCCGAAAAACAGCCAGTTCAAGAAATGTGAGTGCAATCCTGTTAAATGGAAGGACTGGCATAAACAGTCTTGCCTACGCTGGTGTGACTGCAAAGCTGGCAGAGCCATATGCAGAGTCTTTCCAAAAAGTACAGCAATAGTCTTCGGAAGGGAAACTATTTCAAAACTGAAAGCAGCTTGGGATACTGACTTACGTAAGATATAGTTTAATATGTATACCAATATAGTTAAATTAGTTTACTGATCAAGGACTACTGCGCAAATGCCCTAAACCCAAAATATAACTGCTGTCTAAGAAGTATTGTGAAAATTCCTGAGGGTTGTATGTGGTGGGGAACACTGCCATCTGGAAACATTAATGATGAGGCATTAAAAAAAACACACCAAAAACCAAGATGAATCTCAGGAGAAAATACACACATACACACATAAGAATTTATATCTCCCATATGTCACATATTTAATATAAACTTTTGAAACAAGTTCAGATGAAATAAAAATCAAAGTTCTCAAAAAGTGAAAGATTAACTTATAATCGCTAAGTTTTCCCTATTGCCCCAAACATCAGGATGTTTTTTTATTTCCTATGCAAAAGTATGCCTTCAAACTGCTTAAATGATATATGATACACAAACCAGTTTTCAAATAATAAAGCCAGTCATCTTGCAATTTTAAAAAATTAGATAAAAGATATTTGACGCATTACACACATCCACACATCCACACACACACACCAATGACAAAATTTGGCCTCTCCTAAAATAAGTACATGAAGACCATTAAGTGCCACCAGGAAGGAACACCGTGTCACCCTTCCCTACAATCCAGGTAGTTTCCTTTAATCCAATAGCAAATCTGGGCATATTTGAGAGGGGTGATTCTAACAGCCACGTTGAAATCCTGTGGAGAGCCATTCATGTCCACCCACTGGTGCCCTGAAAAGATGCCAATAATTTTTCGCTCCCACTTCTGCTGCTGTCTCTTCCACATCCTCACATAGACCCCTGACCCGCTGGCCCCGGGCTGGGCATCACACTGCTGGTAGAGCAGGTCATAGGTCTCATCTTTGACATCACAGAAGCGGTACACCAAATTGCCAGGTCGATCATTGTCATAACCAGAGAAGTGGATTCTGCCCCCTGGCAGCTGCTTGGAGGGAGGGCTCACTCCAATCTTCATGAACTTTCTCTTGTGGGGTTTTTTGAGTTCCAGGAGGGCATAGTCATAATCCATGCCAATGTCATTGGCATTGCCCTTGATCCAACCCTTGGGCACATGGGTGCGTTTCACCCGGATCCATTGAAATTTCATCTTCTCGGGCACAGCTGAGCTCGAGTCGTTGGCCCTTCGGCCACCATCTTTAAACTTGGGCTTCAGGAAGCCCACTCGAAGTTTCTGGGTTCCTTTCACATAGGTTTTTCCATCGTGTATGCAGTGGGCAGCTGTGAGGACGTGCTTCTCTGCCACGAGGGTGCCAGTGCAGCCTGTAGATAACTTCACTGATGTTGAGAAGGGGTAGTTGAGCAGGAAGTCCTTCCCAAAGATGCTGAATCTGCTGTCATAGCCATAAATCTGCCGCTTCCTCCGAGACTTTCCCGAAGACTCACCCCTGCCACTGCTGAGGACATAAATGCCCACCTGCGTCTCTGTGCGACTCCCATTGGCATAGAGCGTTTCATAAGACAGGTACTGCTTGACCTCTTCATAAGTGGGCAGTGGCGTTCCCTTATGACACTGGGGTCCACATGAGGAGGACACTTCCAATTTGGCTTCAGCCCCAAAGTCTGGCTTGGCTAAGTTGAGGGTGGACTGGGGCAAGACGACAGGGAGGCGGTAAGTAGGCCAAGTGGGTTTCCAGTGGGCACTGTAGGGGCTCCCCTGCCCGAGAGCACAGAAGAGGAGGAGGAGAAGGAAGAGGAGCCCTGGGACGCCCGCCATGCTGAGCACCACTCTGTAGGAACAAAGACAAGCAGGTCAGGAGGGCAGGGGGCTGAGCACCACTTTGCTGCGGAAGCAGCCCAGCAGCATGCCTGTCATTGTTGCCAAGTCTGTGAACCCGCCTCAGGAATCAGGGTGTGGAGAGGAATCCCTAGATAATGGTCTCCCTTACAGTGCAAGGGCTTGACCTCGGAACATTCTCGTGGCTGGGTGCCCAAAATGAAATTGGGTGTTCGTTCCTTTCTATGTTTAAGATGCCCCTGATGACGGCTCTCTGCAGGGCAGCGTGCATATGGTCATTAATCCCCAGATGAACTGCTTGACCAGCCCTGATTTCTGTGTAATTTGGAGCCTTCTTTGTGCTTGATGCTAAACCTTCATCTTCTCCTTCCTCCCTGGTCCCCTGCCTTTTTTTCCTTCTTTTCTCTCATTCTCATTAGAGCATGTACCTGGAAAATTTTCAGAGCAACTTGCTCATGTAGAGGGTAAATCTAAATCACACAGCTTACTGAGTGACTAAGGCATTAAGGGAGGACAGCTCCACAGTGTCACACTTTCTGGGACTCCTATCGCTTCTAAATGGTGGGTGCATTTAGAAGAAGTTATTAGATTTCTTTTTTTTTTTTTGGCTTAAACAACCTTAACTATTATAAATTTAGTTCCAGTGTAGCCAGGCCTCTAACAAACAAAACATTCCTTCTTCCTCTGGATTTTGCTGTCCACTACCAGGATCTCTGCCAAAGATCTAAAGCTCTAATGTTGTCTTAGGTTGATCACGTTGTGACTGTTACTACTGTTGGTTACTTTTTGAGCTCTTTGTGTCTGTGTTCCCAGCTGGTCTAAATGCCTCAAATTTGGACCTATCCTAGCACTCAACAAAGATTTATTGAATGAATGCTTGTATTAATGGAAGAGTGAATGAATAAACAGCGTGGCTCAAAAAATACTTTTTGGAATGATGCATGCTGAGTGCTAATGACGGAGATGTACGAGGTTGATGTGGTAGCTCAGAGAAAGTGCATGAAATCCCGCTGTGGGGAGTCAGAAGAACAGGGGAAGGATTCCAGGGGAGGCGACTCTTCAGATGGGTGCTGAAGTTGAACAGAAGTTAGATAAGACAAGAGAGAGTGAAAGGGACACTTAGAGAGAGAGAACAGTCCATGCAAGGGTGTGGAGACATGCAACAGTGCCCGTCATCTCAGGAATTGTGCTTAGCTCAGCAAGGGTGGAACAGAGGAAGTGAAGAGCCAGATTATGAAGGGTGGTGTACACTAAAGGAAGGAATTTGGATTTCATCCCTGAAGGTATGTTAAAAGACCTGGATCAATCATCTCACAAGAAAAACAACATCAAAAAAGAAAATTGGAAGTGCTTTCATAAATGTTCAAGCATCAGTTGGCTCTGAGTGGCTCTGAATCTTCTGTTCAAGGGAAGCTGACTTAGCAGACAGGGGGATCCATCCACAGCCAAGCATCCCAAAGCAAGGACAAGGAGGGGTTAGGTCTCAAGAGGCCAGCGGAACACAGCAGGAGATGGGAAGAAACCATTTTATTCTTCTCACCCTCTTCCTCGTTGAGAGTACAGACCTGCTAGCAACTTTGGGGTGCCTTTTGCTTTCTTTTACATAAAACTGGAAAATCCCATTGATCTGATCTAGTCCAGCTGAGCATGCCAGTCCATATTCCCAATATCCACACACTATATTTCTAAAATACATGCTTGCCTCACCCACCTCTGGGATCTTTTTGCTTGACTCTTTCTCTTTGATTTTACTTCTATCAAGAACAGGGATGGGCAAAGAAAGGAATGAAGTCCTGGAGAAGCCAATTCCTCGGGACTTCCTGATTCCTTGAAACTGTTTCTCTCCATCTTTCCAAGTAGGAAGGATCCCTGGGTCCTTTCGTGGGTAAGAAATACATCTGATGATTTTTCTAAATCCTTGAAATCATGAAGTGCATGTATGTGCACACACGTGTGTTTGTATGTGCTTCTTGGGGGCACTGCCCAGTCTAAAGGTTCTAAGCGGACAAGGGAGGGAATTGCTAATGCTAGCAGAGCCCTCCCCCCAAATGGGGACTTTGTGAGTAGGATAGGTGTGGTGATGACAACCCTTTAGGAGACTGCAGGGGATGGCTCTGAGTCTGCCTACTCCCATCGCTGGCCACGGAACCAGCCCTTGGACAGATCTAGGGTTTGGACAGCCTTTTCTCTATGTAAGTTGCTGTCTAGGTGGCTAAATGCCCCCCACACCAGAATACCTGCCAAGTGTGAGATGTACTGGGAGGAATCATGTGTCTCCCAGAGGGCTGTATCTGGGACCCCTACACACCACCCCCTCCCTCCCTTTGACTAATGTGGAGAACATTTATGCCTGCTAACACTGATGAGCAGATGCGTTAAGCCAAGTTTGACTTCAGCATATCTTAAGAAAGAAAACACAGAATCCAGAGGTCCAAGCTGCCAAGTGTTCTTGTTTTCAAAATATGACTCTTGGGGGAGAGAGAGGAGGAGATGAGATAGTATTATACTATGTATTATCATAAGTTGTTGATAATATTTTCAATGTGCATGAAGAACATAGTTAAAATATGCTCATATTATCATCTAGAGTATGCATCTTCAAATCCCAAATCTGAAATGTGTATGTTAACTGGATCCTGGCAGTATAGGCTTTGAATGATCTGTTGCACCAGAACTGCTCCAGCGGCATCTCTAGCTTTATCCATTTATCCAAACATTGAAATAGTCCACTGGCAAAGGTGCCAGGGAAGAAAATGGCAGGAAAGAGTCTGAAACTACTCCAAATATACTTTTAAAAATCTGTCTGGGAACCTTGTCTTAATGAATGAATCCCCTCTCAGGCAAAATTAACTTTAATTTCACTTTTCCAAGTACTTTGCCTGTACACCAAATCCCTGTTTAAAAAATACGTTCAGGGGCCAGCCTAGTAGCGTAGTGGTTGAGTTTGGTGTGCTCCACTTCAGCCGCCCGGGTTCGTGGGTTCGGATCCTGGGCGTGGACCTACATCGCTCATCAAGCCATGCTGCTGCAGTGACCCACATACAAAATAGAGGAAGATGGGCACAAATGTTAGCTCAGGGCTACTCTTCCTCAAGCAAAAAGAGGAAGACTGTCAACAGGTGTTAGCTTAGGGCCAATCTTCCTCACCAAAAAAAACACAAAAACCTCAAAAAACAAAAACACTTTCACAGGCCCTGAAGCATGTCTTACTTCACAAGTGCCACCATGGCATATCTTTTTTTTTTTTTTTTTAATGTCTGTCTTTCAAAAAGCAACAATATTTTAGAAACCAGTTCCTGAGAGTTAGTGGGTATGGAGAAATGGGAACAAGTCTTTTCTTGGGGGTGTGTGCTGGGCAGTCAGCTAGGCTCTCTCACTAGCCACAGCTTCACTCCAGCTTCTCAATACACACGATCAAATTTGTTCTTCAGCAAAATGACAGATGACTATGCCAAGGACCTTTAGGATCACTTACAAATCACAGAATGCTGTAAGAGATGCTAAAAAGTCTACCGTAGAATATTACTAGAATATTAATATTCTTGATAGACTATTACCTAATGAATATTAGATGATATTTCTAATTCAGAGTCCTTACAACTTAAATTCTGGTCATTTAGCCAGTTAAGGAGAAGTCGGTCACCTATAAGTAAAGGACTTGCTAAATAAACAGGGCAGGATGAAGCTTTAATCCTTTAGAAATAAACTTTTCAGATACCTCAAAAACACTAATTTGTATTAGTTTAAAACATTGCTTACAACTTCCCTGTATTATTATTTAAACTCTATTTATTAACATGTATGATAAGACCTTGTTCTGACATTTTATATCTTGATTAAAGTTTCTATGTAACTCTGAAACTTTATTTATTAAAAAAACTAATTCAGATTTAGAAATTAATGCAGACTTTTAAAAATTAATGCAGGTCAAATTATTCCAAATTGATTAGGTTTTTAAATACCTGATCAGAAATTGGGAGATAAAGTTTTGTGTTCTCGGGTTCCCAAATGGGTTTAGAATGACATCTGTATTAAAGTTATAAGCGTCATAAATTGTTCACTCCTTTACCAAATGTGTGTTTAGGGTGGTTTAGACATTGTTCTGAATAGTGAGCTGAACCAGATGATCTCTTTAACTAGTCTTTTCAGCTCTGGTCTTTTCAGGTCCAGGATTCTCTAATTTTATAATTTTCCAGGGACACACACAAGTCCAGGTCAGGCACTATGTTGTTTACAAACAGCGTCTGCACCATCATTTACTGCTCAGGAGCCTTAACTCACAGAATTATGGAGGCTGGAGGCATAGGGGAAAAGGAAAGGAAAATTTATCATGCTGATCTCTTGTCTATCTGGGACAAGATTTTCCTGACCCGCGTGCAAAGGAAACAAAGGCATCCAGCAGAGGGCAGCTTCCAAGAACGGAGTGGAGGGATGGCTGGATGTGAATGCTCTTAGAAAAGTGTGAGGGAGAACCAACCCTCCAGCCCACAAAAGGCCTTTCCTGAGGCATTCACACCCTACCCTGACTCCTTCCCCATTAATAAACCACCAATGATAACTAGGATGCTTTAAAATTAGGTTAATGACTTTGCATTAATTTCTCAACTCACCTGGTAATGGAATAATTCCCAGGAGACAAATAATTTTTGTTTCCATTTTTACAAACTCTAGGTAAGCCTGTGCTATGCCCATTTAAGTTTATTTAAACATAAACACTTTAGGATGTGAACAGATGTAATAAAAACATTCATATAATCTCACTCATGGAAAGGTAACTAATAGATTACGTAACTCAAATTCTCTCTTGCCTTTACAAATGAATCACCTTATCCTTATAGAACTGTCTGGAAAACTCATACCTTAAAAAAGGAATGAAGATTTCCAAATCTTATCCTCATTATATCTAAATCTGTATGAAGAAAATTCAGGTCTACAAGGTTTCATTTCCAGGAATAAGCCTTTCCTGGATAAGGATTCCTCATATACATAATT